GATTTCAATTCTTTTTATTGAGTCTTTATGGCTTAATATATGGTGCATCCTAGAGAATGTTCCATTTGTGCTTGAGATTAATATGTTTTGTTGCTGTTGGGTGCAGTCATGCTTTTAGTTTTTAATCAGATTTAAACTACAAAGGTGCGTGGAATCAAACACATTTGTATCTTCTTCAATGTAGCCATGGGCAAACTGGGAGAAGAAGAATAATTGAAATCATCCTTTTTATTATGTATCTATAGATAGATGCATAGATGCAAATATTGAATATTTTCTGTAGTGTGAAGACATATAAGCTTGAGAAGGAGGTAGCATAAAGTAAAAGAAAGACTATGGGTCCACTCTAACTTTCTGACAGGTATAGAGGCAAATCCTAGAAGATTAGGAGTGGATTCTATGATTCTGAAGATCCTCTCTGATGTTAAATCCTGGAAAATTACTTAACTACTCTGCTTCTCTATTTGATCGTCTCTGTTAACCAAGATCATAATAGTACTAGGTTCTTAAGGGTCTTGGGAAACTTAAATGACAGATCTTTGAGTTAAACAAGAAATGACATAAAAATGACATTGCACAGTGTTAGGCACATAATAATTATGTCAGTTGTTTTTAAATTTTTATTTAATTTATTTTTTAAAGCTTATTTATTTATTTTGAGAGAGAGAGAGAGCATGAGCAAGGAAGGGACAGAAAGAGAGGGAGAGAGAGACAGAATCCCAAGCCCCGAGGCAGGGCTAGATCTCAGGAACCACAAGATCATGACCTGGGCTGAGATCAAGAGTCAAATACTTAACTGACTGAACCACTCAGGTGCCCCTATTTTATTATTTTTTAATGATTTTATTTTTAAGTAATCTCTACACCCAAATTGGGGCACAAACCTAAAACCCTGAGATACCTGAGTTACCTGCTCCACTGACTAAGCCAGCCAGGCTTTCATATGTCACTTGTGTTTAGATATAGATGTTATTTAGATATAGAATGTTAGTTTATCTTAGATATAGACATTGCTATTACCAATAATAAAGCTCTTTTTCTTCCCTCAGGTAAAAGGTACAGGAAATGCTTCTTTATAATGCTGTAGGTTTTTTTGAAACTCTGGCCTTATTTCCTTGTTCTACATAAAAGGAACCGAATATCTTGGTTCTGGGAGGCAAAGAGGGTTTTGTTTTGTTTTGTTTTGTTTTGTTTTAACAAGACCCCTGAAACTTATTCTACGGCACTCATAGATGTTGGACCATTTGGTGAGGATGTTAGAGAGGGGAATAAGCATGTCATGGGTATGGGAAGGTCAGACTAGTAACTGTTAATGTCTGTCTAACCTTGAGTTTGCGGAGATTGACAATAGAGGTTACGAAAAGGAGTATTAGCATAAAATCATCTTGTGAATCTGATCATATTAATGAAAAAGGGACACATTAATCAGTTTATTTCTTGGAACTATCTTAAGGTTTTTAGCCTTCCACATTCAGGTTACTAAATCACTTCTGACAGCATGTTATGGTAATGTAGTCAGAGGAAAGAGTTAATTCATTTCTACCCAAAAGCAATTTACTACCTCTCAAGTGTAGAATAAGAACTACAATGTGCTGCTAAACTGATATCCATGCATCAATGGAAACTGGCCCCAGGAACTTAAAGTTTCATTTCCTCTCCAACATCTTGACAATGCTGCTGAAAACCTCAACCCAAATGGGGAGTGAGGTGGAGACAGGCACTTGTAAATTTATTCTGATTTAAGACTTTGGGTTTTACATGTTTATTTATTTTTGGGAGAGAGAGAGAGAAGGAAAGAGAGAGGAGAGAGTGGGCAAGTGGGTAACGGAGAGAGAGAGAGAAAGAGAGAGAGTGGGCAAGTGGGTAAGGGGGGGAGAGAGAAAGAGAGAGAGAGAGAGAAGGAAAGAGAGAGAGTGGGCAAGTGGGTAAGGGGGGGGGGGAGAGAGAGAGAGAATATCCCAAGCAGGCTCCACACACAGCATGGAGCTGGACACAGGGCTTGATCCCAAAACTGCACGTTTTGAGCCAATATCAAGAGTTGGTGACTTAACTGACTAAACCACCCAGGTGCCCCTAAGATTTGAGACTTTGTAACTAACAATAACATCCTGAATTACTATATGGCTTTTTCTCCCAATTTGGTTAGACATTTCACCTCAAAGTCTTCTTAAGTTTATATAATTTTCAAGCATAAAACCTCAGAGAACTTCTTAAAGGATTTAAGTGATATCAGGAAGTATAAGTCTTGTGCCACCAATAAATGCTGAAAAATAAATATTCATCTCTAAAGTCTAAATTAGGAAAAAGAAATCTTTATAATGTCAGATCGCTCCATAAAATATTACTAAGCGTCCTGGAATTTGCTATAGTTTAAAACTCATACATCGTCATAAAACCATTCTCTAGAATATAAGTCCCAAGAGGACAGAGAAGTTTGTTTACCCTCCTAATGCCTCCCAAACCCCTTCAGCAGAGTGCAGCCTCGAGCGAGTGCCCGATGGGTATTTGTTGAGTGAATTCCCTCCTTTAACATGTAAACATTTATATACAAAGTATGTTAAATGCTTATAAAACTTTCTATGTGCTTTATTTATGAATTACTTCATCATATTTCAACTCAAAAGAAAATATGATTATCTATTGGTTCTCTGATAGCAAATATATAACTGATTTAAAGTGAGAGAGGGTGCCTGGTTGGCTTACTCGTTAGAGTGTGTGACTCTTGATCTTGGGGTTGTGACTTTGAGCCGCATGATGGGTCTGTAGAGATTACTGAAAAATAAAATCTAGGAGCGCCTGGGTGGCTCAGTCAGTTGAGCATCTGACTTCAGCTTGGATTCTGATCTCGTGATTCAGGAGTTCAAGGCCCGTGGCAGGCTTTTTGGTGACAGGTCAAAGCATGCAGCCTGCTTCGGATTCTGTGTCTCCCTCTCTCTGCCTCGCCCCTACTCATTCTCTCTCTCTTTCTCCCTCTGTCTCTCTCTCAAAAATAAACTTAAAAAAAAAATAATATAAAAAGTGAGAAATGGCCAAGTAAGAAATTAAGGTAAGATTTATTTCAGGTCAACAATTCATTATATTCTCTTTCTTTTCCTTTTTTTAAAAATGTTTTTTAAATTTATTTTTGAGGGAGTCACATGAGCAAGGAGGGGCAGAGAGAGAGACAGAGAGAGAGGGACAGAGGATCTGCAGCAGGTTCTGTGCTGACAACAGAGAGCCTGATGTGGGGCGCAAACTCACAAACCATGAGATCAGGTGCCCTTCATTATAATGTCTTTTAATGAAGGTTAGTTCCCTTAGGCTTGTAAATTATAGCCATGTACTAGTTTTTGCTGAAGTAGTGGTATTGTGTTACACTGATGGTTCCGTCGGATTAACAGATAAAACACACACAACTTCTAGTAGGTACATGTCTCCAATATTGCACGGGAGATATGTCTATTAAAAAATTATTCATTATCTATCTGAAATTCAAATTTTTTAAATTATTTTTTAATGTTTTATTTATTTCTAGGAGAGAGAGAGAGAGACAGCATGAGCAGGGGAGGTTCAGAGAGAGAGGGAGTCACAGACTGAAACAGGCTCCAGGCTCTGAGCTGGCAGTCAGCACAGAGCCCGACGCGGGGCTCGAACCCATGAACCGCAAGATCATGACCTAAGCGAAAGTCGGACGCTTAACCGACTAAGCCACCCAGGCGCCCCTCTGAAATTCAAATTTAACTGGACATCCTGAATTTTCTTCCTCCTAAATTTGGTCACCCTATCTTCAAAGTAAGTATCACTGCTCTCATCTTAAAGCGTGTCACAATCAAATACAGTCGCTTTATACGTAAATCCATAACTGACTATCTGCAAACACAATGTGTTTAGCTTACACTATTTTTCATCATCATTCCTCAGGAAAATAAACAAAGTAAGGAAGAAAATGGCTTCTCGAGGACAGCAGAGGAGTGGCTCTCCACAGGGCCACTCCTCTGTAGTTCTGTGAGGTCAGTGGCTCCCGGGGGCGGTGCCATACCAGGGCCTAGAGTCCTATTCTTTGAGCTAAATGAACGCTATTTCACCTTACAGGCCCTTATCAGTATATTCTTCCAGAAGTTTCTCTCACTCTGGAAATGCAGTTCCTGACCATGTGGAAACGCTAGAAATTTTAAGAATGCAGCAACAAGGAAATCGTCTTCTCCAAGGCCCGTCTTCCCTCCAGTTAACCCTACTCAGAGGTTTTAAAAAAAAAAAAAAAAAGACTACAGCTGCAGACCTTTGGCTCTTTGATCTTTGCCTTCACAAGTACCGACAAGTGTGGCTTCAATATTTTGCTAAATTCCCCAAATTCTTTAAACAAGAGGCAAAGTCAGAGCCCCCATGCAATGGCTCCAGACCTCAGTATGATTCTTTCCCCTGTTCCCACCCCGCTTCTCCAAACTGATCTCAAATGGACTTTGAACACTTTTTTAACTTTGGATAAACAGGTTCGGGGGGCTGGAGGCCTCAGCGTGCAACCTGTAGAGCCTGACAGAGCAACATTCAATGCTAACTGTCCTTAGGTCAGTTACTCAACTCCACTGAACCTCAGTCTTCTCATCTATGAAGGGGGGCTATGAGTAGTCGATAGGGTCATATGAGATATTAGTGTAAAGTGCCCAGAGATGTAAGTGCTAACTAAATGTTACTATTATTAATATGAAAATATATATTTAAGAATATATGTGTAGAAATTGCTTTCTAACAAGTATTCTTTATTTATTTTAATTTTTTTAAAAATGTCTATTTATTTTGAGAGCCAGAGATAGAGTGCGGGCAGGGGAGGGGCAGAGAGAGGGAAACGTAGAATCTGAAGCAGGCTCTAGGCTCTGAGCTGTCAGCACAGAACCCAATGCGGGGCTGGAACCCACAAACCATGAGATCATGACCTGAGCCGAAGTCAAGACACTCAACAGACTGAGCCACCCAGGAGCCCCTGTCTTATTTATTTTTTAAAGTTTATTTCTATCGAGAGAGAGTGCTTGTGTCTGAGCTGGGGAAGGTGAAGGAGAGAGGGACTCGCAAGCAGGCCCCAGCTGGCAGCACGGAGCGCAGCGTGGGACTCGATCTCACAACCATAAAATCACGACCTGAGCCAAAGTCCAGAGTCAGCCATTTAACCGCTGGAGCCCCAAGTAGTCTACCTGTTCAAGCAGCAAGGAATTCCAACTGGTCTTCAAGGTAACTCAGTAAAGGCTTACGAAAGCCAATCCATACAGTAAGTGTTACTAGAATAATACAGAACTTTAAATTTCATTTTTGGAAAGTATGCGCGGCAGTGGCTTCCCAGCGCTTACAGAGAGATGGAGAAGTGCAGCGTTCCCGCAGAGGATTGGAACACAGCAGGTCAGAGTGTCAGGTAGCAGTGATGTCACAAAGGGGCAGGAGGCAGGCAGCCCCACAATTACCCCAGCCACCGGATGAGGGGCTACTGTCATCACTCTGCCCTCACGTGAGCTGGGGTCCAGGGAGAAAGCCACGCTGGGAACGGTTTTGTACCTTCTTCTGGACGCTGCACGTCTTTAAATCAGAGAATGTGCACGTCCGCTGTCTCCACCTGTGTGCTGACCATCAGCTCATCTTCGCGCACCACGGCCCGCGGGGCAGATGCCTCTCTCTGCTGTGGGACTGTTACCCAATCGGTCAGTACTCCAAAAGAATCAGAAGACCCAGCAACGTTGTTTGTTTACTTTTCCTCCATGTCTCCCGCTCTCCCAGGGAGAAGAGGCCTAGCTAAGAACAGAAATCAGCATCTGGAATCTGCTCACTCAAAGAATAATGGATCTATTCTGCTCAAAAAATGCCTTGATTGTTGATTTGTTTACTTCAGCTCCTTTTCTGAAGGAGCGTATCAGAATTTTGGGGACAAAGCAAAATTGGGAGGAGAGAGAGAGAGAGGAAAGAGAGAGAAGAGAGTGTGCGTGCCTGTGTACAAACAGAGAGCTCTTTTCTCTAAAGGGTTCAAAATTCCCCAGTAATGAGCCTGCCCACCCAACGGAGGCATCCAAACTAGGGTTACTCTTTCCCCAAACCTATGCTTACGCTACCTTTAAAGTGGCTAGCTGGAAATGCTGGTACTCATTCATTATCCTGGGCCTTTCTTTGCTCATCTATAAAATGAAGACATTGGATTAGACACAATGTCAGATTTTTCCAGACCTAAAAGCACTCTTTCTTATATTACTGAAACAGGGACAGGGGACTAGAATTCTTCACAATCAAAGCAAGTCAACATCGTGCGTGTGGAAATGCCTTATTAGTACAAAGGACTTACTAGGCATTCATGAAATGTTTCTTTGGCTATTTCAGGAGTAGGAACCAGATTCTATACATTGAAGCAAAATAGCTATGCTCGTTGGTTTTCACCTCCATTCTCTGGAAAAGGTAAACATCAATAGGTAACAGAGATGACCGAGGCTAGAAGCTAGAATACCCTACTGAGTCATTGAACCGCTTTAGAAAGACACTTGGTATTTTTTCCAGGTGCCTTTTCCCACACAATTAGATATAAGGGCAATTCAAATTTTCAAGTCCCTTTTTTTTTTTGCTTCATGCTTTCTCCCTTACCAAGAAGTGCTTGGCATTTGATTAGGCAAGCTGAGGGTCACAACTTGGCACTGCTGTTTATCAGGTAATTATTTAAATGTGGGGCATAAGCTATTCCATGCTTCATGAAATCTTTCTGTGTAAAAAAAAAAAAATAGTAACAGCCGTGACCATGCACTAAGTACTCAGGTATGTTCTGGGAAGGGTTCTAAGTTAGTGTTTTGCCAATTGTTACTTAAGCATCCTACATCCTGATGAGAAAGAACCTATTTTTAAAAATTTTTTTAATGTTTTATTTATTTCTGAGAGAGAGACACGGTGTGAGCAGGGGAGGGTCAGAGAGAGAGGGAGATACAGAATCTGAAGCAGTCTCCAGGCCCTGAGCTAGCTGTCAGCACAGAGCCCGACGCGGGGCTTGAACCCACGAACCGTGAGATCATGACCTGAGCCGAAGTTGGATGCTTCACCGACTGAGCCACCCAGGCGCCCCGAGAAAGAACCTATTACTATCATCTCTATTTGGATTTCATCCCAGCGAGAAAAGACCTATCGACAATCTCTGCAAGGGGGTTCATTTATCCGGTGCCTCGGAGCTGCCCTCCGTAGGGAAAGGATCCAAGATTTGTACAATCCTGACCCTGAAGTTTGTGTTCTCAACCATTCCTGGATTCTGCCACTGACATCTAGTAGATCACCAGCCCTGTGACAGTTTCCTGGCTGTGTGGCCTCATTCATATTCTTGTCTGCCTCCTCACATAGCCAACACTTCAGGAAAGGAATTTGCGGTCATGAAACCGAATTTCTCTGTGCAAAATCTGAGTGTACCACTCCACACATGAGCAAACGTCCAGCACCATATGAGTGTCTGACGGGGCCAGCCTAAGTGTAGCAAAGACACGTCGTGCTTTTCAGACAAGAGATTCTCTTTGGCCTCCCCAGGACCATTTCAAGGACCCAATTGTAATTCACAGGATTTCCCATGAAACACTCAGCTGCCCAAACTAGGCCAGTGTCTATGTTTGAGGTTTCTCTTGCTCCCTGATGAATCTTAATACTCTCTGAATGTGTAAGAATAGCAACTATTTCCTAAATTCTGATAAGGACTTGACCTTCCTTTCCTCCTCCCAGGTGACTGGCTCGTCCGTACTAAGGTAAAGACCAACAGCACAGCTGGCCGAGAATGGGGAGCGCAGTGTTTTGTGACCTGTGGGGAGGCTCTGGCTGATGGCTTCCTCTGGGATTCCGACTTAATTGTGCCTGTAGGGCGGGCTAAGGGCGCTGGCATGCAGATTTCAGAAGTGTAGACACCGGCATCAGCGGCATAAATGAGATTTTTCAAATTCCTCTCCACTTCCCCTTCTAGGACTAGCTGGCTCTCTGGCTCTGGTGCCTGCCGAGCTGCCTGGGCGAGAGCAGCTGCAGAGAAGGGCCAGGGTGCTGGATGCAGGGGAAAGCACCCGCTCACAGTATTGCCCGGAGACCCTGCTAAGCAGCCTGAGTCCCAAGACTTCTCCAAAAGCCTTGGAAGATGATCACTGCACTTGCATTCTGAAAGGGAGACAAGCAGACAGTTCTAGGATGCTTAGCCGGGCATGTATCAGATGCGATTGTAAACCGGCTGGGGATATGTCACAGGCTGCACATTTCTTGCTGCATGCAAGGAGCCACGTGCGGAAACAAAGGGCAACTTCTCTTCTTAGCGCTGGCCGGGGGCAGTGTGTTCTGAGCACATCTGAAGGGTCATTGCCAGCACCACTGACCACCTGTAGGGTTTGGATCATTGAGGGCTTGCAAGGTGCTCTGTGGCCACTCTGTGGGGACCTATATACAGGGGCAGTGATCCCTTTCAGGTTATTATGGATCAAGGTAGAGCTGATGCACGTCCTCTGGCTGCTGTTGGTTTAAGTAGACCTTTCACAGCCTGGCATAGAGCCTATGGTTGGTTGAAATCATGTACCATTTGCCTTTGTTGCTCTGCCTAATGCTATTTTTTTTTTTTTTTTTTGTCCCCATGCTAACTTGCTGGAGAAAGGAGCCAAAACTCAGCTCTGGCTCTAGCTGCATCCTGAGTGACTGAGTCCTGTGAAGCTCAATCATAGCAGAATGTCCTTCGCAGCCTTCTTCCAGGGGTAAAGACGTCTAGAGGCTACTTTTGAGCTGTAGAGCCCACAGGCCAAGACACTCGGAAGGGATGGATGGTCATGGGTTGCCACTATCAGTAGTAATATCTATATACTGAAGAAAATCTCTTTTTGTGGAAGGCTCTCAGGCCATATTCCAGCATGAAGCAGGGAGGGGCCTGGGTGTCACCCTCTGTGGGGAGGTGTGTGTGCGGGGACAGGCAAGCTCAGAACTTAGGGCAGAGCCTAGTTTAAAACCTTCAAAAAATGAACTAGATAATCATTCAAATTGGATAGCTTAGTTATATAGCTCCCTGAGGCAGGAAATAAGCCTAAACTGTCTCTTCCAGCTGCATGATTCAATGAAAAGATCATCAGAGAAGAGCTCTATCTACCTTCTAATCTCAAGTAACACTTAAAAACACTTCATTAAGTACATTTTACAAAGGTAGCTCCTCCCTGTTCCATATTCAGTGTTTTTTCCTTTTTTCTTTTCCTGATTCTGTTAGCAGTGTTTCAGATGCTAGGTGGCGTCTTTTTCAGAAGGAACTTAAAAAAACCAAATTCCTTTAAAAACTACCATTTATTTTTCTTGGTTCTAAACTTGTTTTCCCCTCCACAGATTTCTCTGTTCTTTTCCTTTCACCTGATCCCCAACAGCCCCCTGGGAAACCAGCACCAAGGAGTATACTAATTACAATAAATAGCTTATGCCCCAAGCTGTGGTTTTTTATTCTTAGCCCTTATTTTTGGCTTTCATTTGATTTTAGAGAGCATTTCAATACTCACTAGACCAGTCACATATTGCCTCTCCCTTCATTTCTCTCTCTCTCTTTTTTTTCTTTTCTCAAGAGTCTGCTTTGCTTAGCTTTCTTGGAGAAAGCTTAGCCTACCTCGTCACAGGGGGTGAATAGTTCTTATGATTCAGAGGCACTGAGGATGGACAGATGCAAGCAAGTAACTTCTATTACTTCTATCAAGTGGAACCCCCCGGAGTCGCCTACTGGACCACTCCTGACCTATAAAAATAAAGTCATCTGGTTTAACCTAATATGTAAGAGGTTGAGGCTCATATTCATATGGTGAACCACAATTCTGTAAGCACCTTTTAGGTAGAAAGATTATTTTGAGGCACCTGGGTGGCTCAGTCAGTTAAGCGTCCAACTTCGGCTCAGGTCATGATCTCACAGTTCATGGGTTTGAGCCCCGCATTGGGCTCTGTGGTGACAGCTCAGAGCCTGGAGCCTCTTTCACATTCTGTCCCCCCACTCCCACCCCCCGTGTTCCTCCTCCACTCACATTCTGTCTCCCTCCCTCTTTCAAAAATAAAGATTAAAAAAAAGATTATCTTCCCCTTTGATAGACTACCTTCAGGCTGAATACCATATTTTTCTAAAGATGATAATAGCTAGCATTTACTGGACAATGTGCACCTTCTCCTATAACCTTCATTTTGGTTCCATGAGATAAGAATTGGGACTCCCATTTCACATATTGGAACACTGAGACTCGGAGAGGCTGAAAGAAGGCAGCCCTGTCCTCACTCAAGTTCTTGCACAATAGCCTCCTGTTTGCATGAACGTCTTGCCCCCTTTTGTTTTTAAGTTTATTTATTCAGAGAGAGAGAGAGAGCATGTGTGAGTGTGCGCATGTGCACGTGAGTGGGAGGGGGCAGAGAGGGGGAGAGAGAGAATCCCAAGCCGGCTCTGAGCTGTCAGCACAGAGCCCGATGCCAGACTCGAGCCCACAAAACATGAGATGATGTTAAAAGCTGATATTAAGATGATGACCTGAGCTGATATTAAGAGTTGGACCCTTAACTGACAGAGCCACCCAGCACCCCAACTTCCTGCCCTTTCTAAAGCTCTCCCTAATATTTCTTTTCATCCGATATTGTCTAAAATAAGTTTAGGCAAATTATCTACCACCTGATCTTCAGTAGGCCCAAATGGCCTAAGATATGGCCATGATGCCTCCCTGTTGATAAAGAAACTGTAGAAAGTGCCATTTATTTATCAACTGTCTCTCATTTCCTCAGGTAGAAATACTTCAACATTATAATTTTTTACAAGTTGTAGGCAGATGACCAATGTGTATGTGCTATAAACACACCAGGAAGCCAGAGCACAAGTGTATCGTTGTTTATAGATGCCATCAGATAGAATCTAAGAAATTACATTAACCTGACACATACTTAATGAAGTGCATAATCCTTATTATGTTTCATGGTAATTAGGGATAAATGGGATGCATTCCATGTAAATGACTGTAATTGGCTTGATTGTACACGGTCAAACCAAATGTTTAGGTTTTTTTCTTATCACACTTAGTTTTTGTAAGATTTATACAGGGTGTCAGTGTGGACAGTGTCCTCTGATGCCATATGTCATTGTTGTCACCATCACTGATCATCATCATCATCTATCATCACGCACACACACACACACTGATCAGCACAGGTGTGCCTCTTGCACTCCTTTCTTCAATGTTGAGGGTCTCCTTTCCCCTCCTCCCAACCCCAGCCTGGGACAGTCGCTTGTGGGGATGTGGCCCTGCTCCTTGTATCTCTCAGCTGGCTGGGCTTCTCCAAACTCATACTCGGAAGGGCTCCTTCAGCAGCCCCTGAAGTTGTGGTTTTCATTCTCCTTGGATGTCCCAGATGCGAAGGCTTGAAATCCTAATCCCTGGGCTCCCTCTCACGCTGTGGACGGGAGGGTGCTAGGGCTAATGTGAGAGAGGAGGAAACACAGCTAGAGCAAGGAGGACGGCAAAGCTGAAGTCCGGGCTGCCGGCTGCATGTGGGATTTCTGTGTTGCCAGTGACCCTATTCATGCTGGTTTAAACCAAGGGGATCTCATCACTGGAACACTGAAAGTGGATCCAGGTACTTCTGGATGTCCTTGGGGATCTGAGTCTCTCCTTCCCTAAGCTCTGCTCTCCTCTGCACAGATTCTATCGTAGGCAGGCATTTCTGCATGTCCATCAGTAGTGCCGGGCTTATGTCCACCATCTCAGAAACTATAGAAGAAAGTACCTCTTCTTCAGTAGTCCCAGCAAACTTCCTGAGATCAGCTCTGACTTGCCTGGCCCTTATCTGAACTAAGCAGAGAGGCCATGGGAATGTGCTGATCTCATGAATGGCCAGACCTCCATCCCAGGCACATCTTAGAGATGGAGATGGATTTAGTCCCTAGACCACATAGACTGAAAGTGGACCCTAATGGGAAGCAAAGGAAAGCTGGATGTTGTTACCAGAAAAGGGAGGATAGACCAGGGCAGTGAGGATTACAGATGTCCACTGTACGTGGTGAAACAGAGGGCAGAGGATACTAGAAAATGCCTTCAGAGTCCCCATAGCTAGGGCTCAGTGAATAGGAAGGGTTAGGATTATGGTAACAGAAGAGATGGGAGTAGGTATAATCTCAGTGACCCATTCTACTTACTGAGTGGGTCTTTCAAGACTTACTGAATGGGGCTCCTGGGTGGCTCAGTTAGTTAAGCGTTTGACTTCGGCTCACATCATGATTTCACAGTTCGTGGGTTCGAGCCCCATGTCAGGCTCTGTGCTGAAAGCTAGCTCAGAGCTTGGAGCCTGCTTCAGATTCTGTATCTCCCTCTCTCTCTGACCCTACCCTGCTCACACTGTCTCTCTCTCTCAGAAATAATAAAACATTAAAAAAAAAAAAAAACTGAGCAATTTTACTTTCCTACCCCTTAAAACATCTCCCTCCACTGTATGTTGTTATCTGAAATTTCTTTAACCACGAACAGCCTTTTACTCTAGACACGGAGAAGATGGATTGAAGTACAAATGTCCCGGGAAAGGCAATGCAGAGGTACGTAGGAGTTATAGCCCTGTAGAAATGAACATATCACAGCGTGCCCCACTTTGATAAGGAAAAAGGATGAAAAAGAAGCAGGGAAAGGAGGATGCCATTCAATGACAAAAGAGAGAAGAGATATAGGTGATTAGGAACAGGAGACAGTTACAACTGATTTCCCAAATTTGTCAATGTCAACCCGGTTCACTGAACACCAACAGCGGGCACAAAACTCACCTTAGTGGAAATTCTATTACAGAGCATGTTTTTGCTATTGACCCTTCACTTTAAAAACTTCTTAGTTTATTAAATAAGGACCGAACTTTCTGTATTTTAGTATTTGCTCCTAATTGAGAAGTCAGTTCCCTGGACAATCTTGGTCCCGTTAGGCCATGATTTGAGCCAGTGAGAATGTTAGATAGCACACACTACAGGAGACATTCATGGGCTCTGAGCCCGATCAAGAGCCTTGGCATTTCTTAAAAAATATTTTTTTTAACTTTTTATTTATTTCCGAGAGAGAGAAAGAGAGAGGGTCCTCAGAGAGCAGAGGAGGGTCAGAGAGAGAGGGAGACACAGAATCTGAAACAGGCTCCAGGCTCTGAGCTGGCTGTCAGCACAGAGCCTGACGCGGGGCTCGAACCCGCGAACCGCAAGATCATGACCTGAGCTGAAGTCGGACGCTTAACCAACTGAGCCACCCACGTGCCCCAGAGCCTTGGCATTTCTTAATAAAATGAAACTTTTCCCCCTCCTTTTCTGATGTAATCTGCATTTTGCTAAACAGGACTTAAAGTATCTTAAACCTTATTCCGGAAAAATGAATAGTCCAAGCTTCGATAATGCTTTAAGGTTTCTTAAATTGCAGGAATTCAGGTTTATTCAATATTTAAAAGACATTGAAAAATGGCACATTGTGCTTTCTTCACTGTGACATCACCTTGATTCTACTTTCAGGGAACAAAAGAGTGTTTGGGGGGGGAGGGGGCTGATCCTTCTGATGATTGGCTCCAGGCCTGACTATGAGGGTCAGAGCACTTGAAGGCATTTTCGTGGTCTCCAAACGGGGGCCAGTGATGTGAGGGCAAATGGCCAGGGACACCAGGCTCCAAGTGTTTTTATGATATTCATACTTGGACCTGAGAAATCGGTGAAAGAACATGAGCATGGGTCAAACAATATTCTAAAAACACCCATTAAGAGAATCAGCACCACAAACAAGTTAATTCCCTTGTACTTTTATAAGAAGTGATATTATTACAGTCATTTCTGGACCATTTGGCTCTGACATGACACGCAGAACAACAGGAAAATGTCTAGAATGGTGGGGAATATAGGATACTATACAGAAAAAGGTAGTCTGGAAGGTAAGATACCTTATCACCTCTTCCAAAAAACAGATTGAGATCTATAATAACAACTTTTATCTTATTTTATTTTTTATTTAAAAATTTTTTAATGTTTATTTACTTTCAAGAGATAGGAAGAGACAGAGTACAAGTCGGGGAAGGTCAGAGAGAGAGGCAGACACAGTCTGAACCAGGCTCCAGGCTCTGAACTGTCAGCGCAGAGCCCAACGCGGGGTTCGATCTCGTGAACTGAGACATCATGACCACGAGCCATAGCCGACACTCAACTGACTGAGCCACCCAGGCGTCCCCTGCCCTTCTTTTTAATATTTATTTATTTTTCAGAGAGAGAGTGAGCATGAGCAGGAGAGAGGCAGAGAGACTAAAACATAGAATCTGAAGCAGGCTCCAGATTCTGAGCTGTCAGCACAGAGCCCGACCCAGGGCTTGAACTCACAAGCTGTGAGACCATGGCCTGAGCTGAAGTCGGACACTTAGCTGACCTAGCCACTATAATAACAACTTTTAAATTAATTCCTAGCTCTTAACTCGGAGAGAGAAGGGAAATTCTTACCATATATCTGGAAATCAGAGACAAAAAGCTAAGGGTCTTGGTTGTAATCACACTTCGACTCTCCTCAGAGAATTTTATTTTCATTCACGGTTGCTATGTAACAAATGTCTGCAGGCAGGGCAGAAATCAGATCACTCTCTGGTTATACATTAAGGGAAGTAGCATCTCCAACCCCCACATCCCAACATATAAAACTCATTGTGTTTGCTTTTAGGTTCCTTGTTTTTCCAGATAGTCTATCGGTCATAATTATCTCTGATAATCGTTAACAAGTCTCTGAAGCTACTCGGGCTTAAAAAGAAACCTT